TGTGTGTGTGTGTGTGTGTGTGTGTGTGTGTGTGTGTGTGTGTGTGTATACCATATTTAATGCATCTTTTATAGATTTTGGAGGTTTTTCCTTGGATTGTTTTTTTTTATCAGATTGTTGTTGTTTCTGTTGCTTTTTTCTTTCTTCATTCTCTTTTGTTTTATTTTCTTTCTCTTTAAACTTTTTATTTCCTTTATCATCCAAATTATTATATGTTTTCACATTATTATCCAAATTATCATACAATGTTTTTACTTGACTCAAAGGAACTGAAAAAAAAGTAATTTTGTAACAAACATATTTTCATTTGTATAATGCAATAAACATATTTTTATCAATAAACATGTTTTTAAACACATACATGAAATGAATTTTATAATAACATTTTATTTGAATAATAGTATTTCTAAATTTTAAGAATTTTTATTGATGGTATCAAGAATAAAGTAGACAAAAGTTTATAAAAATTGAAAGAAAATACTTACGAAAATCTTCTACCTTTGGTGCGTTCTCGATAAATTTTTTTTTCTCGATCTTTGTAAGTTTATTGATCTTTCCATCGTTTTTATCTTTTTTATTTCTTCCAACTAATTCCCACCCACCAGACATAATGTAATAAATGCAATAAACAAATGGACTAATATTACTATCAAAAGGCACTGAAGTGTTAGAAGTCATACGTGGTCGCGCTTGCGTAGTATATGTATTGCCACGCGCTATTCTTGAACAACTTTTTTGACTTTTATAGAAAAATGTGTAATAGTAATATATATGTCTACGTCATCTTCATATTTATTATAAATATTATTCAATTCATTACTAACTAATTATTTTGTCAATTATATAACAATAATTCGGTTAAAATTTTTTTTATTTTCACATTAATTAATAAATGTTCATTTTGTAACATTACTATATAAAACTATATAACTATAACTATATAAAAATAATTTTAACTAACTATATAAAAATATTTTGATATAAGATATAATAATACAGTTAGTATAATAATACATATACAAGATAATAATGCAGATATAATTTTGCAGTTCAAACGAAATCAAACAGTCGATTCTTAAAATTTTCGATATTCTTCGATTTATACAAAATTGCAATGTTTGAAATAATATTTTAGAAAGTATTGTTATAATAAATTAAATATAATCGAAAAGTGAATATAAAATTTTATGAAATTAACTCTGTTTTGAATTTTATATCTCTCTTTACATTCGTTATTTAATACTGATAATGAAATCAACTAGAATTTAATTTTCATATCAATTTTAGTGATATCAGTTATCCAGAAAAAATAAAATTAGTATTATTATAATACAAGCTGTGTAATAGTAATCAGTCTTAGCAATCTTCATACATATGTGTGGTTTTAACGATTACAAAGCTGCGTTGTACCATTGTACGTCGTTGTGGTATAATGCAACAACGCAAGAGAGCACGATACGTTTTAATTATATTTCAATTAAATATTATTTGACTGACTAAAAATAATGTAACAGAACAGAAAAGATTATTTTACTGAAATATATATTATATATTTTCTAACAGTCAAAAAATGATTAATCTAATAGATCAAAGATTTTTATTTATTTTTTTAACCTTACTAAATTAATATCCCGTGAGAAATTGGTTCTGCTCTTTATTGCATAAAACTATTTACTAACAAAAATGCATTTCAAGAATGAATATCGTAGGTCCATAGACGAATACAAACCTGCTGAACCAATAAAAAGAAAAATGAATCTTTATTGGACCTTAGTACTCTTAAGAATCATATTAACGTTCATTCCTCAAACGGGATATATTCATCCCGACGAATATTTTCAATCTATCGAAGTTATATCTGGTAAGTAAAATATATTTACATAGGAACAGAAACAATTACGATTAACTTGTAATATAAAAATTTATTGAGGAAATTTTTATTTTATAGGAGATCATTTTGACATTGATGTCAATAAACCATGGGAATTTAATTCAACATTTCCCATAAGAACTGTTTTAATACCACAAATTACTGTTGGTATACCGTATTCAATTTTAAAAAGACTTTCACAATATACTGTATTTTATTTGGGTATATCATTGAAATCACCATACTTTCTTATATTATTCCCACGTTTATTAGTTTGCGCCTTGTCTTTTATATCAGATTACTGTTTATACAAAATCTGTTACATATATGGTCAAAATTACAAAATAAGACTAATCATTTATGCCAGTTCCTATGTTATGCTTGTTTATGCAACTCATACATTATCAAATACCATTGAACTGGTTCTAACAGCCTTATTATTATATTATACATCATATTCCATGGCATATTCAGAAAAGGTACAAATATACAAATTTAGGTACAAATATATAAATTTTATATAAAATGATAATATTTATTATTTCAGATAGTTGTTCAAAGTGATTATTTATCAAGTAAATATAATAAAGCAAAAACTGGAGTAGAAAGAGTAAAATATTATAAACTTAAAGCTTCGTTACCCCAACATTCTTTAAATCATTGTATGAAAATTGCAACAATTACTGTGATTGGTATATTTAATAGACCAACATTTATTGCATTTGCACTTGCTCCTATTTTCTTTTGGTTACAAAGAGGTTTAGGTTCAAAAAGTATAGGTTTCAGAGATTTTCATATTCGAATATTCACCTTTATTGTCTGTGGAATACCCATCACTCTTTTTTTTATTTTAGTTGATAGTTTTTATTTTGGTTATTTAACAATGGCAGAAATAGGTAATTTTGATATTAGCATAAATAATTTTGTGGTAACACCACTTAATTTCCTCAGATATAACTCAAATATTAAAAATTTAAAAGATCATGGTTTGCATCCTCATTATTTACACTTAACAGTAAATATACCCCTTTTATATAATGCTCTTGGAATTATTGGTCTTTGTACATTTGGAAAACTGTTATACAGGTAATTATTTCAATATGATTTATTTTACACAAAATGTTTGAAATACGAACTGATAGAAAATAATCATCATTTACAGTGGTTTAAAGGCACAATGGTTAAATTTACCACGAATACAAAGCGTTGTTGGTTTAATGACGACATCTTTTATCACACCTATTATATTACTATCAGTATTTCCTCATCAAGAGCCTAGATTTATTATACCAGTATTATTACCTTTAACTTTCTTATATGCTCCAAATATGAGTCAAACACCAGGAGTTGATACTATTGCACGTATTGCAAAAGATGATGAATGTCAAAGTTCATTTACTAGAAATAAGTTGAATAAACTACAAATTTTTTGGTTCATATGTAATATTGTATTAACGTTCTTTTACGGATTTGCTCATCAAGGTGGAGTTCTACCTTTATCATCTCATATAGCAACTGAATTAAAAGCAAAACCAGATCTTACGCATATACATTTATTTACATCACATACTTATTCTATACCAACAGCACTTCTACATTTAAGAAATACCAAAAAAACATATGTAAGTAGTGGAAATCATAAATATAAACTGATAAAAGACTTTTATCTTTATGAACAGAATTCAAAATCTATAAGAGATGTATGTAATGTTATTGCCTTGAAACTTCGTGAATGTGAATATAAATATGTCACCAAGAAAGTACCCTATAGATTGTATTATGCTCTTCCTGCCACAGATTTGGAAGAATTTATTTTCATTCAAAATAATATAAATTTATTTAATTATCATATTGTACATAAATTCTATCCGCATATTACAGTTGAAAAATTACCATTCTCAAAAACTGCTAGAAATATTACGCGTTTAACAAATTTGGCTATATTTTCTGCGGAAAAATTGATTGAAATTATGAATAATATATTTGAAGCTTTCCAGCAATTTCAATTGTTATTAATACGAATTGAATATTTAGAAGATAATAAATATAAAAATACATACATATTATGAAAGGAATTACAATTCATGATTATAATATTTTTGCTTAATTGTTAACATAACTTATATTTGTTAACTTGTATTGTAAAATTAATATAATATTTATTTGTTTATTATTTAGTCGTTATAATAATAACTACTGCAATAACAGGTTATACATATTTCTTATAATATAAAAATATTGGTAATTATTAGCAGTGAAATGATATTATATTTAAAACTTATGTTAAGTAACTTAACCAAATTAAGTTTCATATAAGATATTTAAAATATGTATCAATGAAATTTTTAAAATGAAAATCATATATATATATATAATTTAAACTAAATAATTTTGTAAAATTAAATTCGCTTGTACATTACAATCTACAATTTTACTTTTAAAAATTATTTATTCCTGTCTTGAATTTATTACTTCTCCAATGATTACTATCCTACATAGAAAAATAGAATATATTAGAACTAGATAGAAACTACAAAATATTTTCAAGTTATGTTAATAATTTATATAAACACAAAAATCTGTGTTTTACAAATGTCATGAAATACATAATGTTAATTGCAAAATTTTGTCAAATACATTTTTATTTCAATTATCATTATACGTCCATGGTAATTCCTCATTAAATTTACTTTGATGTACAGCATTACGTGCGGCAAATAATTGCTATAAACATTATTAAACATACAGACAAGATTATATTAAAATAAATTGTATACAGACAAGATTATATTAAAATAGATATTTCCAAAAGAATTTATTGTAACTTACCGGATTATCTATGTATGCCTCACATTTGTAGCACCAAACTGATAAATCACTGAAACTTAAAGTCAATGGATGTTCCACTTTTTCAGCATGTATTAAACCATGTTGATTAATACTACGAGCACAATGAACACTATAGCATTGTAAACAGACCCAGTTTTCAATGTTGCTTTTACATTCTATACATGGTGTACTTATATCAATTCCTGAAACTGGTACATCCTTAATGCTATTCAAATGTGGACATTCTCGTAAAGGTATCACCGCAAACATGTCTCCAGCTATTAATGACTATAAAATTGATAATGAATTCCAATTATAAAAATCATAATTAATTTTAAATAAACATTTATAACATGAAAATTTAAATAGTAATTACATGCAAATTTTCCGAAAAATAATCCTTTAAACTTTTACTATTACTCGTTTGTGCTCTTGCATTTTCATTCTGTTCACCACTACTACCAGCAGAGGAACTGGTGAAGTTTTCATCAGAATGTCCTTTTTCATCTGAATTTGTGCATTTTCTTGTATAGTTAGAAACTGTAAAAATAATTTTATGTAGAGAGTAAACCTTTAATAAAGGCACATATATATTTCTAACTACCATACCTTCATCATGAATATTAATCATTTGTTGCTTGTAAGATGGAATAAGAATCTTCTTTTCTAATTCCTTCAATTCTTCGGAAACGGCTTGCCAATCCGTGTTACATTTTTTATTTATCTGCCGAGTTGTAGGTCTTCTCCGCATTTTTTCAGTTTCTATTTCTTCCAGCGCTATCTTAGATTCTGAATGTTCTAAAGGTTCTTCATTGTTTATAACACGTTCATTTGTCTTTAAATGTGGAATTTTAAGCTTAGGAAGTACTCTTTCTTTTGGTAAAGATAAATTAAATGCTAAATTTGGCCAGTATTGTTTTTGTGTTTTTATAACATTATTTATAGTGTGAATAGCGCTTGTACATGGAATATGTCCATTTTCTAACGTCGGTAAAGGATCACCAAGCAAAGATTTCGTACAAATAGCCATTGCATGCGCGATTGAATTAGTATTATAACCTCCTTCAAGACTAAGAATAACACGACCATTGGCTAAAGAAGATAGCCAGTGTGTTAAGTGTCCATACATTTCTGGCGTTACAAAGCAGCCTAAAAGTGAGAAAAATACTTAAATAAATAGAAAAAATCCACAAAATTGTATACATACCTCCTAGAGGATCACCAATACATGCATCAAAACCCGCAGAAACTAAAATTAATTCTGGGTTAAACTGATAAGCAATCGGCATTACTACTTGTTGAAATGCCGCTATATATTCTGCATCACCCATTCCTTTCTACACAATATATAAATAATAATATGATAATAATTCTGCTTCATTAATATTAATTTATAGCACATTTTTTAAGATTAACCTTATTCCATGGTATATTAACAGTGAAACCTTCTCCTGATTGAGAACCAATGTAAGAGTAGTTTGCTCGTTTAGAATTTGGAAAAAAACTACCATTATCGTAACGATGGACAGATATATATAAAATTTTGGAATCTTCCTCAAAAATGGATTGAGTTCCATTACCATGATGTACATCCCAATCTATTATCAATACTCTGAAAATTCCATTATTTCTTATACTAATGTCACATATTATTAAAAATAAATCAATCATAATACCGTTTTACATGATGAAGTTCTATAGCATATCTAGTTGCTACAGCAATATTATTAAAAATACAAAAACCGCATGCTACATTCTCTCCAGCATGATGTCCTGGAGGCCTAACAATAGCAACACCAGACTGACTTTCTCCAATTAATACACTATGAACTACTTGTAACAACGATCCAGTTGATATACAGGCACTTGTCCAGGTTTCAGGGTGCAAATAAACTGAATTATAAGTTTCTGCCTGTTTTTGTAACTCCTTTGGTTTTAAAGTTTCTGTATCTTTTATTTTATCTATATATTCTTTAGAATGAACTAACATTAATTCTTCTCTAGTTGCACTTCGTCCCTTTAAAATAATCAATGAAGAAAATATTTCAAATAAAAATTGTAATGTCTAAAAAAAAAGGCTTACTAGATATATGAATATACCTCTTGCACATAACACCGATCAAGTAAATTGTACTCTTGATATTTTTTATAAATAAAATTAATACGATGTGGTTTTTCTGGATGATTATCATCCGACATATCACAATGTTTTAACATTCTATCATCGTAAACAATGCATACCTTGTTTGGTGCTTTAGATAAATTAGTGACTAAACAAAAGATTACATTTATATAATTCATTACATTATATAGTTATTTATAGAATTAATTATTACTAACCATTAAATTAGATACATACACTGTATTAATGAATTTAACTGCTTTTCTATCATTTCTATAATATCTTTATTTTGAATTGGATAACAATTTCGAGTTTCATACACCTCGGGCTTAATATCAGTTCCTCTAAAATAAATAAATGGTACTTATATATAATACCACCGGTATTTATATATAATTAAAAGCAATAATAAAATTCTTGTTAAAATTATTTTAATTTCTTACTTGAATGTAACTACAGGTAAATATTGATTAGTATTTTCTTCTTTATTATTTGTTGTACTATTAATACTGTATGTATCTTGGTACTGATAGCATTTCCAATATGGTTTATGCGCATAAATTGCATTTAAAATTGTATCACGTATACTAAAATCATATTAAATTATATAATGAATGAATAAAATACTTTATACTAAGTATTCTCTTTACACTATTTACCTTATTGATGGTAATGTAAGAGTTTCTAACATAGGACATGGATCACCCAACAAAGTACGTAATGTTAATGCTGCACTTTCTGCTAATGATTTTAAACAATAACCACCCTATAATGAAAAATATAATGAAAATATATTAAAGATGTTATAAGTATATAATAGAGTAGCAACTCAAATTATATTTTATACCTCTAATATAACAGCAACTTTTCCAGAGGCCAAACTCAATAATGATGATAGTAAATGAGCATAACATGCAGGTGTTAGCAACATTTCACCCTGGATATCATAAAATAAAAATATTAAAATATGTAGTTTATTGATATATATAATAATACTGAATTTATTATATATATCAACCTTTTCGTCCCCAATTCCGGAATCAAATCCAGCCGAGACAATGACAAAATCTGGATTAAACTAAGATAAAAAAGAAAATTAATAAGTAATATTTATTATTTTACCTCTGGACAGCCCAAAGCTGCATCATAACCAGCTGATACTATTATAAAATCTGGTTGAAACTAGAATAATTAAAAATAATCTATTGTAAAACTCTTTATATTAATATTTCATATAAGGCTCTTGCACAAAATTACAATAATATGTTATTTACCTCATAGGCCATTGGCAATAAAACCTGTTGAAATATGGCTAAATAATCAGCATTGGTCATACCAGTTTTATTAAGTGGCACGTTAAAATTATATCCTTCTCCTAAATCATCTCCAACAAAATGAAAATTAGATTCTCTAAGATTTGGCCAAAATTCACCATTTTCATAACGATGAATTGAAAAATAAATTACTCTGTATAAAATTTACAAATAGTAAAAAAATTATTCAGAAACATTCAAAGAATTATATATATATATATATATATACACAATATTTATATACCGTGGATCATTATAAAACATTTGCTGAGTAGCTTGTCCATGATGCACATCCCAATCAACAATTAAAATTTTACTAGCTAAATTGCTACTTAAAATTTTTTCAGCAGCAATAGCAACATTATTAAAAAAACAATATCCACAATATTCTGATTTCATTGCATGATGTCCTGGTGGTCTGAAACACATGAAAAAATATATTTCCTTAAAAATGTAATTACTTGTTCATTTATGTACAGATCATTACATTACCTTATAATAGCCATACCATTCTGAATTTCTCTTTTACAAATGCTTTCCACTAAATTTATTGTAGAACCCACAGCTAACAAAGACAATTGATAGGTAGACTAGAGCAGTTTTAAATGAATCAATATTTAAATCTAACAATATATTATATTTTATATGTGAAATAAATATTTACATACAGGATTTATATAAATGGCATCATATTTCGATGACAATAATTCTAAACTATCTATATCTGTACATTTGTCAGTGGCCTTCAAAATATCTATCTGTTCTTGGCTGTGCTTCATAAGTATTTCATCCTCTGAAGCTTGTCTTGGTGTGATCAATTTACATCTACTTATTAAACCTAATTCCTCGCATCTTTGCAAAACTTTAGTCAATCTAGCAGGGCATTCTGGATAATTTGGATCCCAAGGGCATTTATGTTCTGTCATTGAATGATCAAATACAATACCAGTTTCTATTCTCTTTGTGTCATATGCATCAATAGCTTTTTGATATATATCATGTACAAAAATATTGTTCGATTTTTTTCCTTGCAATGTATGTTGTTGAGCTGCTTCTCGTTTAGCTGCTATTAAAGCAGCAGATGGACGAACCTAATTAAGGAACTAATTATTATGAAATCACTTTTTTTTTTTGTAAATTTATACTTACATTAAACAGTTTTGCAGACTTTTTAGGTCTTTCTTTGTCTGTCATAGACATTGTATTTTTAATATTTTTAATATTTATCTTTTCTGAATCCTTTATTGTTTTTATTAACTCAATTTCACTGTCTGCTAATTGTTTAACAGCAGTGAGTAAATTTTTGCATATCATAGAATCAGACTATTAGAGAACCCAAAAATGGAATTAATTTTACAGATTAGATATCAAACAAAAGATTAAAAAAAAAAATTTCAAATGAATCTATATCTTTACTTTATTCTATATCATAGAATGAAACCTAGAATTTCAACTGTACTTCAAAAGTAGCTTTAATTGTACAATAATATTAGAAGTAAGATAGCATACTAAAAGTAAGATAACAGAAAAAATTCAGTGATAAAATTTCAATTGAAAGTACTACTATTATACATGAATTAATATAAAGGCAAATAACATAATTAAAAACATCACACACGCGATAAAATCTAGCGCATACTAAATTACAAAAAGTATTACGGAGAAAATTAAATATCAAGTAACATATAAGTGACGATATGAGACATATCCTTGTATAGCTATTTGTATCCCTTCCACTCGAACGTATTATCGCGCACAGAAATTCTATTACGTTCATTTCATTCAAACAATCAACGATAACGAATGCATATGATTATAGAAGTTTCCTCTCACCATTTATGTTTTCAAGTAACCTCCAAATTTTTAGTGAAAAATTGAACTCTAGCAATCTCTATAAACGGATCATGACCGAATATTATATGCTCGAGTTATTTGCATAAATAAGATTTATTTTATGAATTAAATATTCTCATTGCAAAAGCACAGTTGCCCGGAATTTTTTCCATTTTTCACTCTCAATTTTATCCCTACTATTCTAACGAAGACCTAAAACACCATTTGTAACTATAGACGAACAATCACGATGTCGTGATGCCATCACTTAGTCAAAAATAGAATCACGATTCTAAACTGTCAATATTGTATTAAATATTAAATACATGATAAAATCATTTGTCGTGTAACCTCTCGCATATGTATTTTTTTTTTTTTTGTAGTAGAGATTCAATTCCAAACTTATTCCATTTTAAATTTTTGTACCATTTTATCGAAAATAAACACAGTGTAATACAACTAAACTACTACATTGTTATTTGCGAAAATGAGATTATAACAATTTTTGAATAATAACTTTGAATAACAGTTTTCTTCGTGTTTTTTTTTTTACATTAACATACTATTCCCTATTACTTGATTAAATATTGTAATTCTACGTTTTATCATTACAGCATGCAAATTGATATCTAAGTGTCGATTGTATGAATATCGCAATTTTTAGAATTTTTGAATGAATATTGTAATTTGTATCAGTACAAGTTATTTAGTAGATTATAAAAAATGATTCAAATATTAAGGAAACAATTTTCAAGAAACTATAAAAGACACAGGAATGTTAATACGTGGTCATCTCTGGCAACAGCATTCAATTCCATTAGTAAAGAAAAATATGGTTTTGATTTTTTGAAAAAAGAAACTGTGAGTATTTATTTTTCTAAGATGTTTATAACAATGTAAGATATATTAAGATATATTAAACAATATACTAAGTGCTAAAGTTCTTCTGTATTTTGCAGGGATTGTTTGGAATATCTGAATTAAAAACATCAGAAGGATTTAATATTTTAAAAGATCAAGCAATAAATCAAACAGACGCACTTATAGCAGAATCTACAAGTCAAAATAGAAAACGAAAAATGGTAGAAATTTTTGATGATATGTCTGATACATTATGTAAAGTTGCAGATTTAGCAGAGTTCATTAGAATTGCACATCCAGAAAAGCAATTTGTTGCAGCTGCAGAAGATACTTGCCTGTTTGTTAGTGGCATTGTAGAAAAGTAACTATTTTTTCATAAAAATTATATAATAATACTTGTATTATCTTTCAAATGATAATGTGAAATTCATTGGAAAATTTTTTTAGATTAAATACTCATCGTGAATTATACAATGCATTAAAGCATGTTGTATATAATGGAGATATCCAGGAAACATCTATGGTGGATAAACATGTTGCAACATTATTCTTATTTGATTTTGAATTATGCGCTATTCATTTACCAGAATCTATAAGAGAAAAAGTTGTACAGTTGAATTATTACATATTACAAGTATATATTATAATATTATATTACATTTTATTTATGGATTTGTTATTTAATTATATTTTTTGAACATAGGTAGGCCAAAAGTTCATGACAGGTACTAGTAATACAAGAGTAGTAGATGCTAATATTGTTCCATCTAATGTAAGGCATTAGTAAGTATTACAATTGGATAACTTTAAATAACATATTTCTTAATATTTTTCTATTTCTAAAATAACATATTCCTTTTAATTTAAAAATATTTCTTTTTAATGTTTCACAGTTTCACGCAAAAGGATAATAAAATATATGTTCAAGGATTATATGTAGATTCTTCTCATCATCTTCTTAGAGAAACAGCATATCGTATATTTTTATATCCTGATGAAGAACAAGAATATCTTTTACAAGAACTTTTAAATTCTAGACACATTTTGGCTGAACTATGTGGTTTTTCATCTTATGCTCACCGGTAAATTTTAAATATTTGTTGATAAAAATGAAATTAATTAAAATTATATATTAATTATATATAACTAACATAGCTATACTTATACGTATTAAAAGTAAATAATTTATAGAGCTGTTAAAGGAAGTACCGTAGAAAGACCTGAAGTAATATACAAATTTCTTAATATTCTAAATGATAATTTAAAACTTAAAGCAATACAAGATTTTAACGAAATGCAAAAAATGAAAGATGCTGAATCACCTGTAAAACAGGTTTACTGAATTTATTAAATTAATTATAAAAATATGTTATATTATTTATTTATTAAATTATAAAAATAAATTATATTATTTTTGTTTTTGTACATCTTTATTTTTCATGTGTAGAAAATAATGCCATGGGATACAGCTTATTTTACGGCGAAAGCAAAACGAAATTGGTTAAATATGTCCATTAGTGAGTTTGCGCCATATTTTTCACTTGGTGCTTGTATGGATGGCATTAACATATTGATACAAGCATTATATGGTATTCGATTGGAATATGTACAAGTTTTATCTGGTGAAGTTTGGGCAAATAATGTACATAAAATTGCCGTGATAGATGAGAATGAAGAGGTTTTGGGTTATATATATTGTGATTTCTTTGAAAGAGAAGGAAAACCTAATCAAGACTGTCACTTTACCATTAGAGGTGGAAGGCTATTATCAGATGGATCATATCAAGTATAATTTTAATAAATAAGTATAATTTTAATAAATAAATTTTTAACAGAATTTTAATTACTATTCAATTTCAGAATCCTATAGTAGTATTAATGTTATCATTGCCAGTTCCAACATGGTCTAAACCATGTTTACTTAGTCCTGCCTCTGTAGAAAATTTATTCCACGAGATGGGTCATGCATTACATTCTATGCTAGGTAGAACAAAATATCAGCATGTAACTGGAACCAGATGCAGCACAGATTTTGCAGAAGTCCCAAGTGTTTTAATGGAATATTTTGCAACTGATCCAAGAGTGAGTTACTATTTTTACAACTTAATTATTAAATAAATTTTATTTTATTAATCGTATAATATGTATTATTAGGTTGTATCTACATTTGCTAAACATTTCCAAACTTTGGAGCAAATACCAATAACATTATTAAATAAATTATATGCCTCAAAGAACATATTTTGTGCTTCTGAATTACAAAATCAAATATATTATAGTATGTTAGACCAAGTTTATCACAGTACTAAATTAAAAAAACCATCGACCGAAATTTTGAAAGAAATACAGGGAAATTATTATGAGCTTCCTTATGTTGAAAATACAGTACGTATTCTGCCATTTTTGATTTTCATAAAAGGATTTTTATTTATATTATAAATGAAAAATTTTGCAGGCATGGCAATTAAGATTTTCTCATTTGGTTGGATATGGTGCGAAATATTATTCTTATTTAGTATCTCGAGCAATTGCTTCTTGGATATGGCAAACATATTTCCAAGCAGATCCTTTCAGTCGAACGGCAGGTGATCGATATCGAAAAGAATGCTTAGCACATGGAGGTGGGAAACCACCTTCTAAATTAGTATCTGATTTCTTGAACAAGGATGCTAATGCTAGTAACTTCGCAAAATCTTTACTTTATGAAATTGATATGAAAATGGAAAATGTAGAAAAATTAAGGGGCTAAAAAGACCGTACAAAAGGTATTTAGAAAAATATTTTTTTAGAAATGTAAAATATTTGTAAAATATTTTTATAAGGGTAGAGAAAAATTTTGTAGTAAAATATTTAAGATATTTAAAATAATATTTAAAATAAATATTGTATAAATATATCATTTCAATCATAATTGTAAAAACATAAATTTTATAATCTAACATTTTATCTTGTAAATAAAATGTAAATAATTATAATTAATGTATCATGTAAAAAACATAATTTGAGTTTTTTCTTTTATTTTATTACAAGTATGGAATCTCTTACCCTATTTACAATCTTGGTAAATCTATGAACGATTACACAAAAATAAGTTTTTCAATGTAATACAGACGAAACGCAGTATAAGGTAATTTATGAGAAGATACAATATTTATATAATTTATTGTTGAATTGTATTCTAAGTGGCGCAAAAAGCCTTTCAGAATTTTATTTAAAAAAGAATAGAATAAAATAAGAAAATTCTAACATAAGAATATCATTTTTTTCTATTCTGTTTTTTAAAATGGCTTCCAGTAGGGATTTACCATGTACTGCGTTTAAGATGGCTTTAATTTATATTAAAACTTTCCATCAGAACTTCCATTAAAATTAGCTAAAGATTCATGAATCAACATCCTTTTCCATGTTTATACAAAATTCCATTAATAAGCTAAGCTATTTTGTAATTACATCGACATAAAATGACTGAACAAGTCACTGAATAATCAAAATCTTATCAATTCTATTAATGATAATGATAATGATAATGATAATGATAATAATAATAATAATAATG